CTATGAAGCCTGCCAGCCTGCACATTTGGGATCAAACCAGCCAGTTGAGTGATTCCCCAAGCCACTGCCTCTAGTATTTGGGTAGAATGTGTCCTTTAGCTGCTGAGTGGATACTCAAGACTGAGGAGGCGCACCATGGTMCATGAAATAGATTGACTTGGCAGTTATCTCACCCTTCAAGATATTGACCTTCTGCAGGGGTTTTAGTCCAACAATGGCTTTCTATCCACCTTAACCAGGTCTCAAGTTTTGCCTTGAAATCTTGAGTTTTCCTATCCCTTTGGTGAGTACTGTAAGATCTAGTTGGAGAGACAAGAGTGAGTGGACTGGCTTCAGAAAGTGGAGTCAGATCTCAGGTGACAGTGGCTGCTGTAGTACTCTTAGCTGGGGCAAGAGACAGTTCAAGCATAACTTGCTGCAGCAGGACCATGGATCAAATATAAGCTGGTGAGGGGAGCATGGGAGAGTGTGTCTGAGATACACAGTCTCACTACGGGTTGCATTTGCAAACAGGAGAGCATCAGCTGTGCTTGGGATGGAGACACCTCCCYGAGGTGCACCAGGTTGGCCTCCAGTGGCCAGGCAGGGGTCTTTGGGCCACTGGAGGCAGCAGCTTTATAACATTCCTTAATAAAACTGCAATTTGGTAAGGGGATGGGCTACAGAAAGTTGTCTTTTGCATTGGAGATACCGTTACGTCAATCAGGTACCTTTCCATCAACACCTAAAGAACCACGTAGCCAAGCCATGGTTCCTTCCTCCCTTCCTCCCTTCCTCCCTTCCTCCCTTCCTCCCTCCCTCCCTCCCTCCCTTCCTCCCTCCCTCCTTCTCTCTTTCTCTCTCTCTCTCTCTCTTTCTCTCTCTCTCTTCCTCTCTTCCTCTCTCTTTCTCCCTTTTCCTTTTCCTATGAGTTGCAACTACAAAAATGAATAACATTAACTATCAGGTCAAAACCACCAATGAGAGCAGTTCCACAGGTATTTTCTATTTGAAACACACTACACTGCGCTTCATTCAACCAAGCTGAAAACTAAAGGGGAAAATTTTCTGCCCTCTTCTGCTTTAAAATATCAATTTGATAGGAGTGATGGAAGAGTGTGAATTACCTTCAAGGTGGTTCTCCTTTTGCACTGACTGCAGGTAGTGAGAAGACCTGGGGAAGCTCTGGTGAGGAGTCAGTGCCTGGCAGAGAACGTGACAGCTGGCCCAACTTGTGACACTATGCGCTGGCCAAGTTCCCATCGGAACCACACATGCATATGATCCATATTTTCTCATAACCACATGTGTCTTCCTCAGCAACCCTGTTTTTCCCCGAGATTCACCATTCATCTATTATATCTATTATGAATGACCATCTATACATCTATACATTATGGGTGACCTTTTTGGTCCTCAAGATCCTCTCTTGAGCAGAATGGACAGCCCTGATGTTCTTCCTTCATCTCTGCCTATACCTGTGTCCTTGATATAATGGCCTATGACTACTGTGGGGCCAATCASAACCCTGGTACTACCTCACACTCATGCAAGGGTATGGTGTGGGGACAGGGATCCCTGTCTGGGACTGACTGCAATGAGGATCGAACTGTCCTACTGSATAGGATTGGGCAGTTAGGTCTCTAATGAGTTGCTAGTGATTAAGGCAGCTTGCACACATGCCAACAACACTGCTAGATGCTGCTGATCTCTGGCTCTGGGCTCATCTATCTTCATGGCTCCCCTGCTCTCTTCTGGCACCCTCCTGGTCTAGCTGAAAAGACATCTGTCCAAAGGTTTGCACCAGACCCTCAGTGCTTCTGCCATCAGGCTCATGATTGCAGTGCTCTTCCTTGGACAATGTCTCTTCAAGTAGTCCTGTCTCTGCACCAGCTTCACCAAGGGCTCTGTGGTATCAACTTGGAACARCCCTTGSCTCCTGCTAAACCCCATGATCTTCATCCTGGGAAATGAGAGTGAGAGGTGGGCACTCCCCAAGCTAACTGGGAGAAAAGCAGTCACAGAGCAGAAATAAAGGTCAGGGGCAAAAGCAGCGACACTTTCCAGGGTCAGCTGCTGTTTTTCAGCTCTATCAACAAGTGATAAATTTGACTGTGACAAACTGGCCTCTAATCTCCTTCTGTGAAGACAATCCTGGTACCTCAATTTCCCCATGCTCATGAGGCTGTTAGAACTCTCCTGCCCCATGGAGAAATACATAGAATTGGAGGACTACAAATTCATCCAAGATTAAGTTACTATACAAAATATATTGCTTCTTGCCTTTATTTTGTATTTGTTTTCTTATCACTGTTCAAAAGCAGTTTTAAACTTCTATAGTTCTTACTGACAGAGCAACTGAGGATGCAAATGAAGAACTGGAGAAAATAACCCTGCATGTGCTTGATTTTCTTTACTGCTATTGCCAGGGGATACTAAGCATAATGTTTGAAT